CCTAAAATTATTTCGTTTCACATTCTCCACATGCAAAAGTTCTTGTGGCTTAGCATGCTATGAGAAGCAGCAACCAAGTACAAAGTTCATAACAAGAAGAAATAATTGCTTTACTTCTTTATTTACTGTTTTAATAAAAATATGTTTGTAAATAGTAATAATCTATATACATATGTATAATTATTTAAATGAGACTATTTTACAAAATACTAGTCCATTAAAACACAGCCAAGACAGGTCAGTAACATAAGTGCATGTGTGCTGCATCATTCTATATTGTTAGCCAGGCATGACTGGAAGGTCAGTATAATAAAAAATATATATATATATAATGTTATGAAATTTAAGCTATTTAATCTAAACATTTATGTTTTTCATGTTATAACTTTTAGTCATTATAAAATGAAAAAGCATAATTTATACTTATTTCCCAATTTTTTATGGTGGTTACAAGATCACTGAAATTGTATAGTTAGAGTAGAGAAAATAACAGACAAAATATAAGGTTTTACTGAAAACAAATGTTTGAGATGAAGAATAGTCTTTTAATCATGACATTAAAATCACTTTGCACTTGGACTAGTAATGAAACAGACTTAATATTTTCATAAACAAATGTTTAGTAAAAATACATCATAAAAAAAGTCTGATTTTTTTTGTGTACAAAAGACTTGAAATCATTACTAAAAGTCTACTAAATTTTGTGAAGTTACACATAAGCATTAAAAGTTGTAGTATAGATACTTAACATGTACAAATGTGTATATGAACTCATGTGAAATATACTGAGCCTGTCTCGAAAGAATTAATAAAGCAAGTTCTACTGCTGTATATACATTTTACAATAAGTATAGACACTGTTCCACAAGTAGAAATAGTTTACTTAATGAAAAGTATTTACATATTACATAATTTGATGTCTTTAACAGTAAGCTAATTGCTTATTCTATAACTATGGAACTATAATATATACTTATGGTTCTTAATCTTTTCATGCTCTTCTCGGCTCCAACAGTTCCTGAAGGTTCAAAACAAAGGTCATCTTTCACACACGATTTCTTTTGGTTACACATAGTAAAATTTTGTTCCACTGATAAACAAATTCTTTCTAATGTTTATTTTTTTTTAAGCATTTAAAAGCTATTGAAAGAACTTTTTAGTGGAGTAATTAATTACATTATATTACCTGCTACACACTCACGAGAAACCTTTCACTGTTTATTGCTAAGACAACAGTTAACTTGCCTTAATTTGAAAGTCGTTTCTTTGTGTTATGTACCTTATTAGAAGAGTACAACACTACTAATATTTGTTCCCTATCGTTGCAAAGTGATACTGAAACCAAAGTTCTTAGGGTAATGGAGCATGGATACTCATGGTAGCACTGTTGCAGGTTAGTATTCACAACAAAAGTTGTACTGGGACAGATGTTACTGAAAGGGATTTTTGATTTGCTAGTCTTAGAGAGAAGATACAAGAAGTGAATTAATAACATATATTAATATACGTATATAAACAGATCTTATGTACTTTGAAAGGTTATGAAAAACAGGGCATAAACACAGTATCATACCTATTTTTATGTATTGCACAGTTTTCCAGAATCTCTGTCTTTCCCAAAGGCATTGTCTTCATCATACCAGTTTGTTTTAGGTGGAAGAGGTATGTTTCCTATAAAAATAAGTTCAGGTCTAAGTGAGACTACATTTTAAAATTCACAAGTTACTTTCATTCATATCAAAATTATAAAACCCCTTTTATTAGTTTTGTATTAATTCCCATTGTAATATCTTTATAAGTTTTTACACTAAATACTGAATATTGTTTCTATTTTCAGGAAAGTATGGGTGTGTTACCAATAACTCACTTGATGTAATACTATAAAGAATCAAACTTGCTTCTCTATTTATATCTTTTAAAGCAACACCTGCCTCTTATGACAGCATTCCTTAAGTGTATGTGAGCTTATATATCTAAAAGAAAAGGTACCAACAGTAGTATGCTACCTCCGAGTCAGTCAAGTTTACTATATTGATGAGTTTTCAACTTTACGTGCATTTTAAAAAAAAAAGTAAGACTTTGATAGAGTATAATGTGAGAGTAAACCTCAGTCTCAGCAGTAAGAATAACTTTTACATTCTAAACTTTCAGTTTACATTTCTAGCCAGAATTTTGCAATATGCCAAAACAGAATACATAATTTATAATACAATATAGAGTACTCCAAAGTTGCTAGGAAGTAGGTTAATATATTACGTTGAAGTAAATTATAACATTGTTTTGTTATGCTACAAGCTGGAGTGTATCAACACCAGTTGGCTGTTATCTAAGCAAGAAAACAACTTAAACCCCCAAGATCCTTGATCTTCAGAACACTGGTAGTTCTTGTATTGATACCCAGGATTTGTTGTGATTTCACAGTTTGGAGATGACCTTGGGACCACACCTTATTCAAGTCGGGGTTAAGAGACCTCCATGAGTTCTAGAATACAGTACATAGACAGTGGTAAATTTTGTTTTTTATCAGTTAAAAAAAAATCTACCCCTATAAATATATCCAAGAAAGGTTGTAAAAATAAAATAAAAATGAACTGTGCATGTATCTGTAGTTACTGGTCTTTATTTGAAGACTTCCCTAGCAAATTAAAAACCACTGTATACTATTTCACAAAAGGTGGTATAGGATGTGCTAGTGAAGATGGTCATGAACAGTTTTAGAAATACCTTGTACTCTAGTACAGCATGTGAATGTAAAGAACTGACGGAATAAAAAATAAACATGAGTTTTAATAATGTAGCTTGTAATCCAGAATATAAAAAACTTATTGTCTATCAAATAGATTATAAGGGCAGGTGCTTGAGCATCGGAGAGGGTGCTAGGAGTTTCCCTGAAAATGAGAGGCTATTCTGTCCCTTTTAGTCTGATGAAACTGTACAGGTTTATTTAGTCAAACACGATATAAATATAAAAGAAAGATGACATGGATTTTCTAAAATGCCAAACTTTTTTTTTAAAGAATGGTAAAGGTGAGAGATAGCAAAATGTTATTAGTAATGGAGTCTACTCAAACTGGATCTGTGTTAATAGAGGTGCATATGAGCCCTTTCTTCTTTACCTAATGGTACTGATAGGTCTATTATTAGTAAATGTTTTTTTTAAAGGAAATTCAGCTGTTTCTATCCTAGTCTAGACGTATGAATAAAAGAAGCTACAAAATATTTTTTACCCATTCCGTAATGTTTGCAATAGATACTTTTTCCCTCTCTTTTATTATTTTTGATTGAATGGTGGAAAGTAAAAAAAGAGATATTGCATTGTTGCATGGGAGTTCTTTGAAAATATTGTTATGTCTCTGGTCGTTTGTTAATTTCCTGTAAAAATTCTTTCCAAAGAACTTCAGCGATACAAGTCCTTTCTTAAATAAAACTAATTTATTCTTTCTCAACACAACTTTGCAATACACAGAATTTCCACAGTCACTTTAACTTAAACACATGCTATAATTCATAACAATTCACACACTTTACTTGCGGTCACTAACGTTCACTCGACTCTATTATCTGTCTCTATATTTCCCTATCTGCCCTTATCTATGCCGTCACTTCTACCCCACTTTATTTGCTAAGCTTATATATACAAAAATAGAGGGTGCGTATAAAAGACTAGAGTTGTCAAGAAAAGACACTATCCTTCTAGAATCTCATGACTTCCATTGTCGTAACAATACCCTCTAAATTACACAGTTGAGCATCCAACAACTACATCTGCCAAGTTCACCAAACTATGGTTAATGATCTCTACCATACACTGGCTCATGAATATTGAAACCTAAACACCATAATCAACAGTATCCACAAATTTATCTTCAATTGGTGTTCAGACCCTTATTGAAAATACAGAATTTTTTTAGGTTTTTAATATTGTAACCAGTTTTTCAACATCTATGTGTTATTTATGAATTCTACTGCCCAATGGGTCAGGGTGCTTAGATTGGATTGCCTCTTATAAGAATGGAAGATCATGTAATGGAACACTAATCCCTGGTTCAGGGATAGTTCAAGCATTGTTCAGCGTGGATGTGGTCCCAACTCCCACTAGGTTCGAAGTAACTAATAAAGCTGAACATTAGACTATGCTATGGGTGAAAGAGATGCTTCTAATCCTTCAAATGAAGCCTAGATTAAACAAATCGGCAAACATCTACTAGACTTTACTTTCAATTTAGGTAAAAGATCCAGTCTGTGCTAAATGCATGTTATGCAACTCGAGGCTTAAGCATTCCAATAACACAAGAAACTTGTTTGCACACTTCAAAAATAAGTATCCAATAAGGAGTGAAAAGCTTTAGAGGCAGGAAAGTGAAAAAACAAAAATGGAGACTTTGGCAACTGAGATTATTCACTGCCATCTAGAAGACAAAGCCTTGTAGAGCAGAAGAGAGTTGGCATAAAAGAACTGATGGATGATTGCTACAGATCTGCAACCTGCTTAAATCACCAAAGACCAAGATTTTTGCAGACTCTTGATCCTTGGTAAACAATACCAAGCAGCCGATCCTTAATGGAAGACGTGTTGCTGTAGTGTAAGGGAACCAAGAAAAAAACTGTTTGACGAGCTGAAGGGAGTGTTGTACATTACCCTAAGAATGAACATATGGACCTCCCACCAAATGGAGGGCTATATAAGCATTACAGCGCACTTCATTGCTCCACAGTTCTTAGCCCCAAAATACGGAGAACATTGTTGTAGACATACAGACAACAATATATGACTTTGGGCTAGAAGAGCAGTTGTGGCTGACATGCTGCAATTACCATTCCCGCCACCTGTAAACTAATCTCTGTTGTGGCAAGGTCAAATGGCATAGCACCTCTGAAACTTGCATCATAGTAAGAGACCTCCTGTTCAGAAATGATCAAGTTTTCTTTTCCCAACAGAATGAGGGGGTATTGTTACTAGTCCATGCTGCTCTGGCATTTGCTGGAACATTTAAAATGTGGAGTTCCAACAAGACTCCACACTGTTGATGAGTTTATGCTGGGGGCATTGTACTGGACTTGTACTTCCTTATGTCTATTAATGACCTGGATGCTTTGGTGAAAAATGTTAGGTCTTTAATTTTCATATTTAGTTTCTGGACATGATTTAACTGCTTTTCTGATGACAAAAGTTGAGAGTGTGGGCTAAGCATGGAATATGTTGCAAGTTCATCATGCACTGTTATGAAAATGGCATCAGCATTGTAAGATCTTCTTTCAAAGGAATTACTGAACCAGTTACAGAAGAGGAATTTTGCAATTCTTGAAATGTTAAATACATATATGATGCTTCAACCTTGTTGGACCTCTAATTCAATAAAATACCTTTCCAGGACTTAAAGAATAGCCTTGCTGCACAGCTAATGACCAAAAGGGAAATAAGTAAAGTTATGAGTGCATCTCATCCAAGTACCAGCACCTCCACTCAGTGGGAAGCTTTTTTACAAATAGGTGCTGTCTGCTGCATCACATGTAACCCAACAGATTGAAACATGTTATTTCGAAGAGAAAGTCCTGTCTCTTGATGTCACACTAAAGTATGCGTGTTCCAGTTGCAGCGGTACCTTCTGAGCAAATATTTTCAAAAGTTGGAGTAATCATAAGCAACCATAACCAATCATAAGGAACAGACTGAAATCCCAACTTGACATGTTTATTTTTCTTAAAAAATCTTTAGCTAGATAGATACCTGCATAAATGTTTTCCACTGAATTTTCAAGTTCCAAATATAATGTTTAATGACATATATTTTGTCTTTGATTCTCATTCTCTCTGTATGCTTTGCTTCCAAATCCCCTATCCTTCCCTAAAAACAAAGCAAAAAAAGAATGGTGCCCATGCTTCAACCCCCATGTTTATTACTTACAAGTTTGTCCTCTTATGCATTGAAATTATCATGTAATATATATCCATGTTTGTAGTTTCTAACATTGAAATAAATCTAATTTTTACAAATAAACAAAAATTAAAACATGACATAGCTGCACACACTTCATACATACTCTTAACTGGCATGGTGCTGCATAAAGGGATGTAACCATAACATGTTGATGTATTCTCCTCTGAATTTGATATATTTTCTAATAAATATAAATACATAAAAACCTGATATAACTCATCACTTGATTGATGGTGGCCTGTTGGTGAGAAGTGGCCGCAGAATGAAATGTTCTACTTCAACAATCATCAGAGAAAACCAAAAGGTCACGACTAGCCCAGGACTCTCACATCTGCAGGACAGTACAATGGCATGACTTAAAAAAATTACTAAGGTTTTTGATGTGGCCAGCTTTTGATAAGCATCTGAGGGACTAACTCACCAAAGCTATTAACTGTGACAGGCCAACCAGTCAGTTGGCTGCAGCTGCACAACATCACACAGCAGTATATCCAGTCTGATCAGATATAAGCATCAATGCTGCCAGAATTGTGTTAATGTTGAGGAAGTCATACCCATTAGTAACTTTGTAATGTTTTTAATTTTGACTGTGTGTCACATTGGAAACTTCTTTTATCACTTTTGTGCACATTTTCTATGATTATATCTATTATACCAGCGTTGCATTGCTTTTGTGCCTCAGTAGAGTAAGCATGTTAAATACAAACATAACTTAAAGTGTATAATACAGATTATCTAAAAAAAAAACTTGCTGAATATATAAAGCAGTATCTTGTCTAAAATGGAGCCTAGTGATTGAGTATGAAATTAACTACAGTATGTGGAAAACTAAAAGCTTTATGGAATACATAATATGTAATAAACAATACAGTATGTTGAGAACAAAATTAAGTGATGAAATATATTATAAAATACACGTGTTAAGCAAATCAAGGAGTTTTATTACATTTTATATATTTATGTACATAGTAAGTCTACAACAAAATTTATTTTCACAAGTTTTTCTGTACAAAGTAGTAAAACATTAGTAGCATCCAGACAGCTCACTCAACCTAGCTATTCATAGTGGATCAGCTGTCTAGTGAAAAGTTTTGCAAGTGATACTAGTTGGCAAAACTGCAAAGAAACAATTTTACATTTTAAGAGTTAAGCTAAATTTCACTTCTTTCCAAGACTGTAAACTTTGATTTTAAAGATTCATAAAGTTGGTGTTCAGGAATTACTGAAATGCTTTCTTGAAGGATCTTCGAATAATACCAGTCACTAAACTTGTGGTTTGGAGAAGATCCCACTTTATTATCTAAATAATATACACCCAAATGTCCACCATGGACTCCTGAATTTTAGCAGTGTAAAGTCAATAAACTTAACACTGAAATGCCAGCAGACCTTGACATGTATTTCTCACTTTTCACCAATCAAATTGTGGTCAACAGTGAAGAATGAAATTTAACTGCCTGACAATTTCCTTTGTTAATTTTTCTGATATCTTGGAAGGGCTGCTTTCTAGGTCATGATTGGATGATAACTACAAAGGATGGTTGAGTGCAAAATGAAAATTACATGATGACTAGTTATGATTCAATTAACTACACTTGTGTGTTCTTGCATTTATATCTTATATGCTACAAGTATTAGGAAAAAAAAATATTGCTAAATAAAAAAGCTATATAGGGCTGGCTACTGAACTTGAAAAAAGGAACCAAACAAGACATGCATGGATGTGGACCTGGTTAACAATCACGTAGCAGACTAAGCTGTCTTGATTTTACATTGAGAATAAAATTTCTACATTACTGGCTTCCCCACTTTGTCTATCGAAAACTTGGTGTTTGAATAGAATCTCAGCTTTCATCATTATACCTTTTCTTTAGTTAACTTTAGAATATGACTATTTTACAACAATTTTGGATTGGAAATTCTGGTTCCATTTGTTTAGCCAGTGAGAAAGTCAGTAATGTAGGGATTTTATTCTCCATATAAAGTCAAGATAGCTTAGTCTGCTATGTGATCAATAGCTGGATCAAGTATCCACTTCCATGTCTATCTTGTTTGATTCCTTTTTCAAGTTCATTAGCCAGCCCTACATATATTTTTTATTTAGCAATACATTTTTTTACTAATATTTGTTTTATTTTTTATATAAGATGGCATACATGAGTTAATAGGTTACAGAGTTTCTTCTAAAGTTATATAAATGTTGCACAGAATAATAATAAAATAGGTAGTTAAAGATCGTGAAGACTGTTTTGATCTATCAAATGATGATAAAATTATAGTTACTGCTAGAACTAGTTAGGCACTAGGCCTGTCAAAGAAGAATGATGAATGAAAACAAAAAATTTCAGTTTTTACTATTTGCTGGTTTTCAATTTTGGGACGCTCTGGATAGCTGAAAAGTGGCAAATACACTGGAGATAGAGCGACTATGCCAAGTAGGTCTTCATACAGAATTTTGGGGTTGGCTCCCTAAAAACTCCAATTGTATAGTGTACAAAGCATTGAGTATTAACACATTACAGTCATCTAATGTTCATCTATTATTGGCTGGTAATTCCTGTTTCACTCTGTACTTAAGCTTTTTAAAGAAACACCAGATTTCTGCAAAGAAAGCTAACATCAAGACATTGTTTACAATAGAATTATGTTTTTTTTAAATTTTGTATAGAATAATAGTAAAATAGGTAGACAAATATCATGAAGACTGTTTTGCTCCACAATTGATGATAAAATTGTAGTTGCTGCTAGAATTAGGTAAATGCTAGGCCTGTTGAAGAAAGATGATGATGAATGAAAAATAAGAAATCTTGGGTTTTTGGCTATTTCGCGGTTTTTAACTTTGGGATACATCGGATAACCGAAAAGTGGCATATACAACGAAGAAAGAGTCATATATAGCTTCAGATTACTTTTGTACTGATTTAATATGGGCATCTGTGCCATCCCTACACATTACAAATAAGATGTCTTGAGAAAGTGCCACAACTCCACCCAAGTAAACAAATACACTTAATGTTTAAATGCTTCCTAATCTTCACCGTTGCACATCCAAAGTTACAAGTTAATTGTATATGCACTTTTTAATCTATAATGGCCCCAATATGTGTTTAAAAGTGGTTAGATTTTTAAAATTAATTACATTATATCAAGGTTAGGACTACATTAGTTAAGTAAAATGCATAAAAGTCTAACCTGGAGGGGAAACAAAGTAGCTTTCTTCTGTTTTTACTGCATTTCTCATAACTTCACTTTTACAGCTTCCTTCAGTAACTACATCATCTTGAAGATAAAGAGTTCTGACAAAAATACACATCAGTGTAAACTCTATGATTCGAGTAAATTCAAGGAAACTTCAATTCAATTAGTGATCAGTTTCAACAAGTATTCATCAGCAGAACTAATTAATAATGTACACTTTCAACAAATGATTAAAAAACTAAAAAAATAATTCTTGGTTAACTTCAATGATTTGATGAATATCAGATTATTTGAAAACACCTACTCAAGATCACTAGAGAATACTATATCTATTCACTGATAAAGCTGGTTGTATGGTAAATGTTTCAGTAAAATGTATTTTCTTGGCATAGATTGTCAAACAAAAAATAATATAATCAACTACTTGTTAATAAAATAAATATTTTTAGACAGGTTCAATGAATCTCAGAATCATTTTTTGCCTAATAAGTTTGTATTCAATGAACTTACACGATGAAATATCAAAAAATTACCAATTCAATGACTGTCTAAAAATTACCGTAAAGCAAGTTTTTTGTTGATTTAATAAATCTAATTAAAAATTAGGTGGGAAAAATATTTCACCCCCTCATTAAAATTTTAAATGAATCCATATAATATGTTGACCGATTCAGTACATCGTTTTAGGAATAAGTAAATAAAAAGGCCTCACTGAGTTGGTAAATCTGTAGAGTAAATTGTAACAAGAAATATCTACAACAAATTTGGCTAAAAAGTATTTCTTTACTTATTATATATTGAATCTCAACATTAAAAAAAAGGGTTCACTAAAAAAAAAAAAACAAAATTAGTATAATTTATTGCTATGATTGAAGAATTCATTAAATATTTTCTTTTATATTCACTAAAAAGTGGATACTTCCTTTATTCAATATAGATTTGCTTTCCAGTGGCATATAGAGTACTCTACGGACTTACACCTCTAGAAACTGGGTTTTGATACCTGTGGTGGGCAGAGCAAAAACAGCCAATTGTGTAGTTTTGTACTTAACTGTAACCAAACAAATTGGTGCTACAATAGTGTGCAGTATACAAAGATATTTATACTGTAACGTGCGGTTTACAGGTCTACACAGATATTTATACTGTAACGCGTGGTCTACACAGATACTATCATCATCATCACCGTTTTAATAATTCATTAAAACAATTTCTTGCTAAATAATTTATATCTATCCATGTTTTTGTTCAGCAAATAATAATAATTTAATAAGTTGTGTGTTCTAAAAGTACCTTAAATTTAGGTTATAATTATTCTAGTTTTGGTTGTTGGTATTTATTTCATTCCCATTATATTTGCCCCCAAAACGTTATGTAATAGTATTTTATACTTTATTAGTTTAAAAGCATTATTTATAATAAATGGTGCCAATTGCAAATAAATGAAAGTTAAAATGGTGATGATGATGATAGGATCTGTGTAGACTGCACACTATAGTGTAAATATTAATATAGACTGCACACTATAGTGTAAATATTATTGTAGACTGCACACTATAGTGTAAATATAATTATAGACTGCACACTATAGTGTAAATATTATTGTAGACTGCACACTATAGTGTAAATATTATTATAGACTGCACACTACAGTGTAAATATTTTTATAGACTGCACACTATAGTGTAAATATAATTACAGACTGCACACTATAGTGTAAATATAGTTGTAGACTGCACACTATAGTGTAAATATAATTATAGACTGCACACTATAGTGTAAATATTATTGTAGACTGCACACTATAGTGTAAATATTATTATAGACTGCACACTACAGTGTAAATATTTTTATAGACTGCACACTATAGTGTAAATATTGTTATAGACTGCACGCTACAGTAACACCAACAAATCTAGATTGATTCAGTGAATGATAATTT